CCGTGGTTCGTTCCACCAAAGTACTGCAGTTATGTGCATTATAGTCACACAGTCATCGTTAAATGTGTGATTCTTCTAGAAGTCATGCACTCAACAAACTGAACAAATATTTGCGCAAACGTTGCACGCGCGGGTTCTGCCAAGCTGCCAGGAGAACGGGTTCTGCCAAGCTGTATTTCAGCTTGGCGTTTTTCTTTGTTTGTTTGCTTGCTTGCTTGTTTTCTTTAGCATTTGCACGTAATTGTAACCCCCTAACCTTAAAAAAAAAATCTGAATCTCCAGAAGACTGCGATTTTAATCATTACTGTTTGAATTAGGGATGTACACGAGTGAGAATATAAGTTACCGAGAATAAACAGTTGAGAAAAAATGCTCTAAACTGTGCCCACCATGGTGGTCTAGTGGCTAAGGTACTCGGCTGCTGACCCGCAAGTCGCGGGATCGAATCCCAGCTGTGGCGGCTGCATTTTCGATGGAGGTGGAACTACTGTAGGCCCGTGTGCTCAGATTTGGGTGCACGTTAAAGAACCAAGGTGGTCTAAATTTCCGGAGCCCTCCTCTACGGCGTCTCTCATTATTATATGGGGTTTTTTGGGCGTTAAACCCCACATTTTTATTTATTTTTATTTATTCGATACTGCAGAGTCAAGGTCCTAGCAGGGTGATTAATACATATACAAATACAGATATAAATAAAATGGCAATCGCAGAACTGAAACAATAAAGGGCGAAGAATGTCTCGTAAGGCAATTCCTTCATCACATGTATTAGTAAAGCAATTCCATTTACATATGGTTCTTGGAAAGTACGAAAAATTAAGTAGGTCGGTACGAGCAAAATATGGGATCAAGGCTTTTGAGTGGTGGCGTCATCAACGCTCAAAACTGTCTATACCGATAAATGTCATGTGGTGCTGTGTTATTAAGTAATTCTGGCCCGAAAAATAAAGTTCTAGGTGCGACCTCAGGAACGTTTCGTTTAGTACATGCTCTTTGATAGAGGCCATTCGGCTTAGTAGCATCAGGTTTAGCTCATGTTTCCCCAATATGAATTGAAGGGTCCATGACAGCCAGTTTTTTACCGTAATCTATGTGATGTAGGTCGATCCTTGTACGTTCACAAACAAGCTGGAAAAATGTGAGCGAATTTGGTCAAGCCGTTAATTTATAATCGAATATTTCAATTATAAATTAACAGCTAGAGAGTCGGGCAACACTGGGGCGCTTGCTAGCCGTGACGTGACGAACCACTTGCTGGACGAGCTGCTGAACGGTCTGCAATGCGAAGGACGATAGTGTTTCGTGGTCAGCTGCACTAGGAATCGAACTTTTTCTGTGTTGTACAACTTGCCACTGGAACTAAATGACTTCCAGTGGTTTAACCTATGTCACGGCGTCACCCATGTAGCTCTGGTACTTGCAGCAAGCGGTTTCGAGGGTCAAGAAGTGTCCATAACTACTATAACTGCGTGAAAAAGAGACAAGAAACAGAGAAGCCACACACACATGCAAGCGCAGTTTGTGTGCCTTCTCTGTTTCTTGTCTTTTTTTTTTGCGCAGTTTTTGTACTTTTGGATTACCAACTCGTCCAGCGTTCACTCATCTCAAGAAGTGTACTGTGATAGCGCAATGCCGTTTGCCACTACGAATAAATATTTATTGATACTCTTCGCAGGCAACGCCATGGTTCAACATCGCACTTCCTTTTTTTTCTTACCAGAACCGAATGGAGTCGACAGAGTTCAAGGAAATATTCGTCCGAAATGTATATCGTCATTAAACCTAGCGACGCAGTGACATGCTTTTCGCTTCGGCTAATGTACGACGTCGTCGCCGCATATGGTGACGGCCGGTAACACGCCGCAACACTCGCGGCCCACTGACACGTGCGTACCACGCGGCAAGCAACATTCGCAAAACTGACCGCGTACGGAAGGTGCTGTTTGGTAGCAAACGACGACACTGCTCCTTCGGCTTGTGACGTCACTCACACCACGACAAAATGGCGGTCACCGCCGGTGGAAGGAGTTTACAGCCCATGACTTCTACGGCTTATTTTGGACTGAAGTGATCTCTTAAAGTCCAGTTTGCACACGTGTACAATTGATTTGTGGGGTTTAACGTCCCAAAACCACCATATGATTATGAGAGACGCCGTAGTGGAGGGCTCCGGAAATTTTGACCACCTGGGGTTCTTTAACGTGCACCCAAATCTGAGCACACGGGCCTACAACATTTCCGCCTCCATCGGAAATGCAGCCGCCGCAGCCGGGATTCGATCCCGCGACCTATGGATCAGCAGCCGAGTACTTTAGCCACTAGACCACCACGGCGGGGCGCACACGTGTACAAGCACATTTATACCTCTACCTTCGTTTTTTACCGAAAAAAAAACGTCAATTGTTGGGTGACCATGCATGTTATGACCCCATTTACGCAATTTTATGAATACGGGCCAAATTTTGCTGACGCAACCGCCACTCCCACCATTAGCACGTGGTCCGAGAGTGACACATGCCATTGAGTACTCGCATACCATTTACAGCAGGTGTCGCGAACACGTGGCGCATGGGCCACATGCGGCCCCGGGGCTTTCGATTGCGGCCCGTGGCCCACGGTCCGCACATAACTACCTTCGCTCCCCATTGTATTTATTTTCTTAAGTATGTTCGTGAGCTACATAGCCATGACTTGTTTAAGGTATCCTCTTAGTGAGACATCGCATGCGTTCGCGTTGTTTTCAAACGTAACCGTCAAAGAAAGGTTATATTTCTGAATCGGCGCACACATTTGAGCCAATGTTGGGGATTGGTATCTCGACATAATTTTGGAATCCTGGCTTCAAATGTTCAGGAATGATCTGCATATCGGATATGGGACAGTTGTCTTTCAAATGGCAACGTTTGTTGGCACATTCATCAAACTCCCCCTCTCTACTCCCTCTACACTCTTACCTTCTTCACTGTTTCGGCCCTTGCGGAACTAAATTGCGTGACGGCGGCACCCTGGCTTAGGTATGCTTGAGACCTCCGGTTTACAGTGTCCATGCAGTCTCTGAACAGTCTGATAGAAGCAGTGGTAACCCGTTTCGCAAAACCCATATTCACACACACACACACACACACAAAAAAAAAAAAAAAAAAAAAAAAAACGCCAGGCCTGTGCGGAAGGCGCAGCACAGTCACGGCAAAAGCTAGAAGAGCGGCCTTTCAGAGCCTTTCAAAAAACTCATTGGGTAACTACTGCAAGAACACTTGCTTGATACTCACTATGGTACTAATAATACATTTTTGGGGCAGCAAGCCGGCATTCGCTATGCTATGTTTTGTCATTCTTCTGAGAAGCGTCGTTTCCGCTAAACACTTGCAAAGAATTTTGCGCCAATTGTTCATGCAGTGGCTGCCGACGATGAGGAATGATGGCTGAAGTGAGTATGCGCCACAGTTAACAGGGAAGCAAGAACAAGCTTTTGTAATAAGTTGGATTATGTGACGACTCACTCACTACGCTATTCGCATTGTGCGTGGACTGGTTGTCCTTTTGCTGTTTTAAAACGCTTTATCAGTCGTATTAATGCGACCACTCTCCCGAGATCAAGCCTGCCTAAGGCACGTTTGCCAACAAATCACAAGCACCGGTGTGGCTCCGTGGTATAGAATACCGGGATGGCACCCAGTGGAACCGCGTTCGAACCCCACTGTGTCATTGGTGCTAAGTTGTTTTTCTAATTTCGAACCTTGTTTTTTTACGGACACCGGCGGCGGCGGCGGACAACTGTACGTGATCCGAGTTGTGATCTCATAACAGCTTTCCTTGTAAAATCCCGAGCTCTGCAAGCTTAATACCCACTTTATATAGGCCTCCTATTCTGAGGTGCACGGAGGCGCGAACTATATCGGAGGCAATGCTATGCTCGCAGTTTAAAAAAAAAAAAACCCAGGTAGTCGAAATTTCCGGAGCCCTTCACTACTGGGTCTCTCATAATCATATGGTGCTTTTGGGACGTTAAACTTCACATATCAATCAAGTATGCTGGCACTTTGAACAGCCGGGCACTGCATGATCTTGGGGCCCGTAATGTGACAGAATGAAACGGCAGTTGATTTATTATTTTTTTTGTGTGTGTCTGTGTACATGGGCATGCGCGAGAAAGTAAGATCCTGTTAAAAAACTCTTGTCGAGAATGTTTTACTTTACACCCATTTAACCACAGCAACCTCTATGCAGCCTTCAAATTGCTTCCGTATCCCTAGAATATTCATACGCTGTTGCATTGTTTGGAACAGAAAAGTTTAGCCCATCCTGATGATGCATAGACATATTATTAGCACAGACGATGGCTCAGTGGCAAAAGATTACTTAAAAGAACTAAAACCTAATGAAATTGACCCTTAAGTTGCACGCGGCTCGCCAGCTTATGGCAACCGCTGCACGCGACCTTTGCTATAAATCACGTCACGCGGCATCGTAGCGACTAGACGCCGGAGCTATACGGCACCTGCCGCTTACACGCGTCACATATATGGCTGACATAGCACGCGCATAATGTCAGCGTACGTGTATATAGTGAATATACGGCAGACGACTTTCCCAGAGAAGCTGTGTCCAAATGTACGCCGCGATACCTGTACTACTGACCTTGCGCCAATTTGTGCAATTTTCCATCGTGTTGTTTGTTCCGTTTTTTTGGTCGTTCGTATCGACAAAAATTTTTATATCTTCATCACACATTTCCCTTCTGGTAGTGACTATTGGCCTTGCTCTTCGGCTTGAAGGTATACCACGCGTTCGCGACATACATAAACTGCAAGTGCCAGTGCAGGTGATAGGAGTCGCAATAAAGCAAGAACGCCAAATCCACGAACGCGGCGCTGGTTTCCACCTCTTCCCGAGACAAACGCACGCGCGTTACGGCTGCTGTGACGAGCCTAATGGGTCACACTTAAAACAGATCGCGGAAAGCGAGAAGAAAGCAAAGCAACGTGGCGGCAGACAACAGACCTGTTCTCCTCTCTCGTTGCCGTCCCCTTTCCTCGTGCGCCGGTCTCTTATCGAGGGAGAAGCCCCACCGAAGGCAGGCAACACAATTACACCCAGGGGCACGCAGGCGTAGCCGGCGAACACAGCTGCGAAAACGGCGCCATTAAACGGCCGAGTAACGGAAGCCACAACGGCGTGTTCGCAAGCTGAGCAATACAGAAAAAAAAAACATGTGTTCTTTAGCGCACTGCGGTAGCGGATACATACGTCTTCATTGTTTGTTATTTTAAATCTCGCTTTGTCGTTTGGCCTTCTTAGCTACATCGCTCTTTCTCTCCGCTTCTTACTCTTCTCCTTGTCCCGTCTCGTCCTTTTCATTTTACACTTCTTTATTTATGAAGCGAATCATCGAGCTCGCCACTTGTGACATTTCTCGCCTTGTGTGTTGGCGTATTGTTTGAATGTTCTTGACGCTGCTTCAGTCGAGGGCAATAATGTCCGCGCAGGTCCTTCCCCTTGTGCCGTTGCGGTAAATTTTACGCCCCAAATTTCCTATTTTACCAGCGTATCTCCTTCTCACAATAGTTCTTTTTTTCTTCATTCGTGAATTCGCTGTTACGTTTGGCTACGTGTATGGCGCCGATGTTGTTGCCTTTTTTAGGGGAGGCGGTGGAGAGCGGAAGATGGGGTGGGGGTGCAGCTTATGCCGCCGTATAGGTGACGGTGCCCATTTGATAACGGGCGGCCGTATTTTCCCAGTGCCCCATTACCACGGACAACTAAAAACGGCTATAAACCACTTTATTGCATTGTCTTTCACTCGGCAGTGTCGGGAGCTGTCTGTGGAACAGCGCCGTAGCTGCGCACGTCCGTCACGAAATACCTTCTCCCTTCCCTCCTTCCATACCCTCTCCATCTCATTATTCTTTCTGGAACATTGGGATGTCCCAACCATTTGTCAATTCTTTTATTTTTCTTCACATTTTTTTCGTTTTACTGATGATCCTGCGTACTCGGGTTGTCGGAATGTTACGTGTTGATTAAGGGGCATGAGGGAAACAGTCAAGGTCTCCCTCGATGCTTTGAACATTCTCAGTTTTACTGTCCTTGAAGATGGCTTCTCGGTAACCGAGGAACACAGTTATCACGCCTTTATATGCCCTACAATTAGGAAATCGTTCACACGTGTCGCATTTTGTGACAATATAAGAAATGTAATTGCTGTCTTGTTTTGTTTTTCAGCGAGAATAAAGACAAAGGTGACACTGAAGGAAACATTTCGGCTTTCGTGTTATTGATTGCATTTTTGTGAGACCGCCTGTGAACTCTCTCGGCGTAGAGGTTCGGTTTTATTATCCTATGCGCGATCATGCATTGGTAATTTTCTCATTTACGATTCTTCTGCGATGTTTGCAGCTGTTTTCCTTATTGATTCGTTGCTGTCTTCGAATCCTCTATTTTTCTTATTTTCGCTCGGTAGTGTGTGGTGGTGGTAACCTTTTGAAATGACATTTTACCGACAACATGCTCTCACGTCTGCTTTCGCCAAAGCGAAAAAGAAATCAAGTCAAAACGAAATGAACAAACTATTATATACATTAAAGAGTAGCGTCTTCAGAATAATGCAAAAATTGTTCCGTAATATTTACTCAAACCAGTGATAATATATAATGATTTAGCGTGATAGAAGTTTGAAGCGCTCTCTAGGCAACAGAATTTGGGGGGGAATTATAACGCCTAAATAACTACCTCTCACATTCACATGTACCTTCACGATTGTTTTCAACATAATAGAAGATGGTGAAAAAACAAATTCAACGGGTAGATTAAGCTCCCAGTTATAACACGTGTCCTCCATAAACTACAGTACTCACGTATTTTTGAGCTCATGACTACCCAACTCTCTGGATTGTCATTTTGATGAGAATTCATAACGATGTCAAAAAGCACTTTGGGTTACTGTATATTCACTTTTATACAGTGCAGTCAAATAGCGTCTGAAAATGTAACTAACTACACCTTATAGTACATCAGCACTGCAGCAAAGGAAGGGCTACAAGAGTGAAAATTGTCACCCAATCATTTATTTCTATAGCACAAACCTACAAGAGATTCCGCCGAACTGATTTACTCTATTCAGCGTCCGTGGACTTTAATTTGTCGATTATTACACCCTCGTACTGACTCGCACTGCCAGTAGTTGTCTGCCTCCTGGTTAGCTCAATTAGTATAACGACAACTTCGGGCAAGCGGTGGTTCCAGATTCGATGGCTGAATCAGAGCTAACTTTCGAGGAACTGAGAAACTTTGCTTTCTGAGGTTTTCCTTTCGCTTGGTGCTAAAAATGGTAGGACGCCACTTTTTACTTTCGCATTATATTTGTGTAGTCCCGTTTCATGCAGATGTTGCGAAAGCAGTACGTGCTACCTATTAGCCATCACTGAGTCTATAGGTGCGAAACTGGTAGAAGGCCGTGTTGAAATTGCAGATAGCTCGTATGGGACTGATGCTTATATTTGTGGTAGCCAAATGTTTCAATTTCCGCGCCGTCTTTACGGTCGGATACCGCCTGCTGTTTGGAGGCACTCATTTGAGGTCAGAATATGAGACTGAAATCAACAGGGATTAACGGTGATCGAGCAAGAACATTGCTGTAGCCAAAGTTCCGACAAAGAGATTTGCCTTCGTTAACAACCCGGCCGCCCCTCACCAAAGCTAGTCTCGTTGTTCAATGGTTCGCGCTATAGTGACATACTAGCTTGTTCGAACGCTCTATCTTTCTGTGTACTTCTGTATTATTCCGACGGAACAGAAAACTTATCTAGAACAAGTTAGCGCATTTCAGTCCAATAGAACATGTGACAGAAGCTTCGCCAATTATGCATAAGGAAGTACGTCCTTGAAAGGAGCCTGGTCTTGTTGCAGGGTGCTCACATTTGAGAAATCGTTATGGGTACCTCACGGTGCATCCGTTCGAACTGCCAAAAAATACGTTGCGGGGAAGAACAGTGAGCCTCATGTTGCAGAAATGACCACTTTGTTCAACGTTCGCTCTTCGTGTAACTATGTACCTCAAAAAGAAAAAAAGAAATAAATGAAATTTTCAAAGTATTTCATTTATTCGATTCATCGCGACAGTCTACAGTTTTCGCGCGACCTGGTTACCCCATGGTCTATATTTAGTTATAGTGTTTCTCTGCAGAGCATGAAGTCGTGTTAGGCACTTCGCTTTGAGACCGCTTATCGACGCTTGCTTCTTCTTCTCCCCAAATGCGAGGAAAAACGTGTCATCATTGAGGGCGTTGTCGAAGTGAATGGTAGATGCAAGATGAGGATAGGAAAAATGAATGAGATGAGAACTAAAAAAAGTTTCAAGTTTTAAGTAGTCGCAGTAGGGAAACGGGACACGAGACGTATTCAGAAATTTGTTTCGGGTGGTGGAGATCCGACCTGTTATTATAGTGCATGCGTGAGTGTACGCAAACCACAAAATGTCGCGTATACGTGCAAGTTTCCTACATCATAAACACACATGGGCAAATGTCCATAGAAAAGGAGGCTTGGTCGGTCGGTCGGTTGGTACAACTCCCTAAACCCACCGTGGCTACGCAAATGCAGAGGACAAAAGGGTTACTTGTGCTAGTTTATCTCACGAAGGGGATAAAAAAACAGCAACTACAAACATTTTTGGGTGAGTTGGTATCGCTTATCCATGATGCGAGGCATTTTAAATGTGCAAATGTTAGCCCTGAACTGTCTCTAATTGTGAAAAAAAAATATCTGAACTCCATAAATGCAAGCTATCAAATGCCTTTGCATGAGATGTGAGTACAGGTTTGCCTGCAAAGTTCCCGCGTAAACTCACTAGGCTCTAGAGGTCCGTTTAGAAACCGACTTCTCGACTTCATGGCCCACTTAGCTCGACGTTAATCGAGCGACGCGATGCGTAAGTAGCTAGATGGGGATATGACAAGTTTTAAACAAGCATATCCAGCCATCAGAGCTTCAACAACTGAGACCCCCTGCTTGGAACACGTTGAAATAATTGCGGTTTTTATCGAAAGTGACTCAGCAAGCATGTACAGCAAACTTCTCGAATCAAGTTGTGCAAGAGGCGGGCATTAGCTGATTCGGCTGTACAGTTTTGAATCTCGGCTTTCACAGCGAATCCCAAGGACTGAGTCTGCTTTTCAGCGCCGCGTGCTAAGCTACTTCATTGCTAGAGGAATCAACTTCCCGAGCGTATGGGCTCTGAGGTGCACCTTGTTTTGATTCTTGTATACCTGCCAAGATTAACAAGCGAAACTTCAGTTTTGTTCGGTAGAGCTGCGCAATATAAATGCCGAGAAATGTTGATTGATTGATTGATATGTGGGGTTAACGTCCCAAAACCACTATATGATTATGAGAGACGCCGTAGTGGAGGGCTCCGGTAATTTAGACCACCTGGGGTTCTTTAACGTGCACCCAAATCTGAGCACATGGGCCTACAACATTTCCGCCTCCATCGGAAATGCAGCCGCCGCAGCCGGGATTCGAACCCGCGCCCTGCGGGTCAGCAGCCGAGTACCTTAGCCACTAGACCACCGCGGCGGGGCGCCGAGAAATGTTTTCTCACGTGTAGTTTTCACGCACACTATAGAGCAGTTAGCTTCTGCAAGACCTTCTGCGCAGCAAATCAATTTAGCAGTTTAACCTTACATAGGTGACTGCTCGTCGCGCAACTGCAGCGGCTGATCGAGTGCACCGTTAAGCGGGGACGCAGCTGTCGGCTGACGTGGTACCTGCGATTGTTTGCTCTTAGTGAGTGGAAAAGCACGCAAACTCGTGTCGTGCCGATTCTTTTGGCGCGTCCGAGAGCGACTGTGGTGACGTAACCACGAAAAACTGTGAGCGACGTGAGTGAAAGACTGGGTGGCAATGGCCTGCAGCTAGCCGGTGCCCGCTTTGTATTACCATCTCTTTAACTTCTTTTTTTTTTCAACATGTCTGCACAAAGTAATTTATGAACGACTATACCAGCAGTACAAACCCAATAAGCGCCAGCTTTAGCAAAATGCACACGTGTATATAGGCCAGTTATGTTTATTATGCAGTGAAGCTACATAAAGTTGAGCCCGAAGCAGCTAGTGGACGTTGCATACGTCAAAACAGTCCTTGCTACAAAAACCCGCATGAAT